TTTCTTTACCAAACCGACTTTTCATTCAATCAAGGTAACAAATGCTTATACTAAATAGTCACACGATTTGTTCTTCCATCGTGAGAGGTGGAGTGGTTGGGATTGTTTTAGAAATTGACCGATGCATTGACCTCTTGTTTGCCAACTTGATGAATTGTGCAAAAAAACCTTTACAACTATGCAATTCATGCCAATGGTTCAATCTACCTCATAATAATAATAATATTAAAATAAATAAGTTAACAAACTTGACACTTGGTCTTTACATATAAAAGAATTAATCTATCAACATATAATTAAATTATAAAAAATATCAAGAGTTTACCCAACCTAGAGATATCCTCATTCATTGATATTTTTATTTTTATTTTTATTTTTAACCAAGATTGTTAAGAACATAATATAAATAATAAAATTATCTATTCATTTAACAATTTAAGCTTTTACATGAATTGATAGTCAACAATTTAATACGGTATTAGAGTATACAATAAATTATGTGTTTTAACTTCAAAGCCTACTCGATATTAAAAATATTTTCATGTAAAGGGGACATGTTGAAGATATAATATAAATAATGAAATTGTCACTCTCTCTGACAAATTAAAAGTGAGTCTTATGATACTCGTATATACAGTTGTGCTCACAATCAATACTTTTATTATAATGAAAGAATGTTGATCTACATTTGTTAAGTAATTAAGAGATAAGAGATATCTACCTATTATATTTTATAATTTTTCATTTATCTAAAGCATTACATTCATTATGTCGTGGTGTTCAAAATTAATAACGTAACAAAAAATTTATCATTTTTTTATTATTTCTCACCAAATCACCCATCAAAAGAGCGAGTTAGATAGATCCAATGAAACAAAGTCAGTTGAGCATGAAACCAAAGTAGAGATCTCATGGTGACTGCAACATCATATCTTTCATTTTTGTTGTAGCAATGGATTTGCCTTTCGTTATGGGCCCACCTTAGCCACAACAAACCCTCTCTAACTTATAGAAAAGAATACAAAACTTGTCTTCAATTCAATATAAGCCCCAGCTGTGACCACCCTCTCTCTACCATTTGACAAGGACAGTGGAGCCCTACAGTTACACCAGCAGTTTTGTCATTTAAGATGCTAAGATTTTCTTAGATAGTGCAATATATCAAAGCCCACCCACCCAAGCATCTACTCACAAGATTCTCCTTGCATGTAATTCCTTTTATATATATATACATAGAGAGAGAGAGAGGGAATCGATATATTTTGTTTTTATTTTTTATATTATCAGATTATATATATATATATATATATATATATTAAGATATTATTTACTTTCATTAATTCTGTAATAATTATTTTCAAACAAGAAAATCAACATTAATATCCATATACAAGGAAATATAATAATAAAATAGTTACAAAAAAATTGATAACATGTAATATTTCTCATATACATTTGGAGTAGCTTGTCTTCAATTTATCAAAGTGAACTGCATCCAATTGGGCTTGTTGAGGTCGCAACGAGTTTTACTTTAAAAATCTAATCTATTCATTTTGTAAACCTCTGTACGTATATTTGTAGTCAATGAATTACATTACATTAGTCTTAAAAAAAATAAACGATCTATTTTCAAACTCATTCTTACTATGCACTTTTTTGAATATATCTCTTATAAAATAATGTAGTTATAATTATCAAATTAATTTAATTTTTTATAGACAATCTATACACTAGAGTTTACAAAATGAATGGAGCTCAACTGGAGAGTCTAGTTCACCTAAAGATAATATGTTTCCATTTTTCTTTGTCTCTCTCTCTGTAGATTTGTTTGTTTGCATTTGAACCATTGCATCTTCATCGATGGCTTATTATGGACTATTTTGGAAACTTGGTTAAAAGTCAAATTTTGACTTCTAATTTTTTTTGAGTCACATCACTTCTTTAATTTTTTTATATCCTTTTTTTAAAAAATAAAAAAATTAACTTTTAAGTAACTGTTCAAAATAATTTTATATACATCAAACTTAGAAGGGTTTGAGGAGCAAGACGCCAATTCAAATGTATTAGTGCTTGGGTACCTAAACCAGTCCATGAGAGGGCCTTGTGTAATAATTTTGGGCCAACATATGTAAAAATAAGGTGAGTTTTTATGCAGGTCTTACTTTTCAGAGTACATCTTTGAGATGATGGGTAATTTTTCTTAGCACGTAATTGTTTTTTTGACGGATTTATTTTTGTTTTTTGTTTTGTTATTTGGTTGGAATAGCCCTTTGAGGTCGGTCTTATGTATTGTTGTTGTTTGTTAATATAATATTTCTCATGTTGTCTTTTAAAAAAAAAAAAAGGTAGAGCAATGTGTTCATTTATGCAAAAATATTATATAAAGGAATAAAAATAACAAATGTGTCGCATTCAAGGTCCCGTAGCTCAGTTGGTTAGAGCGTTGGTCTTATGAGCCGAAGGTCGCGGGTTCGAGCCCCGCCGGGACCATTCTTCATTAATTTCTGTTTTTTTAATCCCAAGTTTATGTTCTACATCCTTCTACATCCCAGAAACTTTGTGATTAGAATTTTACAATTCACGGTTCGATTTGTAATTTTTATGAAATTAATACGAATTTATGAGTAAATCTTTAGTAAATTCATGATTTGATTTACTTTTTGCGATTCATACAATTCTTGAAATTATAATGTCCGATATATTTTGGACTCTTTTTTTCTCCATCTTTTTAGTGAAAATAACATAATATAACTTCTAATAATATTTAGTACCAAAATAGCCAATATATATATACATGATTTGTTGTTAACAATTCTTTAAAAAATCATAATATATCTTTTAAAAATATTAAAAATTAAAATAACTTACACTATGAATTATCTATTATTATTTTATTAAATTAAATACAATTGAATATTTCATGGGTGAGATCAGCTATACCTTTTAAAATATTTTAGACTTTAAAATAAAATCATAAATAATTCTTCTTATTGTTTAGTCATTGTAACTTAGAAATGTTCATTGGAAAAATATGCATGCATGTTGTCCAAATTTTAATATCGTTATTAAATTATTGTTACTTTGTAAATTGAGAGTTGTCTTTGTTTACTGTCTTTATTAAGAATGATTGATAAGGAATATCTAAAAAAAGAAAAAGATAAGATGATAATTTTGCATAGGAACCTTTGTTAACTTCTTACTTATTAAATTAGGTGATCATTCAAAATAATGTTTTCATTAATTTAAGTCTAAATATTTCATATTCATAAGTTATATTTAATATCCAAGTATAGATATATTTTTCTAAGTAATTTAGAAAAAAAAAGTAATTGAACTTTTACAATTCACGATTCAATTTGATTCGCAATTCAGTATGAGACTATTTCGATTCACGATTCGAATTTTGATTTGACAACTATGCGTAGAAGTATTTTTTTTTACCATCACCTATATTAATCTTTGCAATGATTTTATCAAAAATGTTTGGGAGTTTTAAAATAGAAACTTTTAAGGAAGGAGCTCTAACTGTGTAGGCCCACAGTGATGATGATGTTTTTTTTTTTTTTTTTTTTTTTTTTTTTTTACATCACTAAAACTGAATTTAGAGCCCGAACTCTAGAGTTTTGAACCATCACTCTAATTTTATATAGGCGTTGAGAGCTTTTGTTAGACTTGTGGAATAGCAACCCTAGCTCTTAGAGGATATTTGTGTGTGCAACATGGCCAACTTTTCAATATGTATGCTGTGGCTTAGTTTTGAAAGAAGTTATTTTAATAATTTTTTAATTTTTTATAATAAAAAAAAAATATGCATAAAAGTAAAGAGAGTGACGTGATAATTTATAGTGACTTTTTGATTTTTTAACTAAACTTCAAGTTGTCAAACGAGACCTAAGTAATTGATGAATCTATTTCTTCACAAATAGTGTCTTATATTACGAGAGCAGGTTTAAACGAATTCAAGAGTCAAGATATAATTACAGGGTTTTGATGGCATGGAAATTACTCAGTAGCACAATACTTAAAAAAAAAAAATGTATGCTATGATATTTTTTTTTTTTTTCACATATATATATATATATTGATCGAACAACATATTCAATAAGTGTTGGTGGTTCCATTTTTAGGTGGTGCTCCATCTATTACAAGGCCCATAAGAAGTTGGCCCATAACCATCGTTTTGTTCATCTGTCGCTGTAAGCCCAGAAAATCAAGTAAACCTTAGACCACCCCCTAAAAATGCGACCTCAAGTTCTCTACCATTCAGGCTTTGACAAGTGTTACCAAAATATTTATGTATATATATACAGTATGGGCTTGTCACCGGCCTATTTGGGCTAACTTGTATGATCTGATTTGCTTAGATTAGTTATGAATTTGTTTTTTATTGACATAATAATCATACCTTTATGATTTATTATTAAATAAATGAACAATAAGTATAATTTAAAAAATATGACAAATTATGTATTTTAATTTTCAATTTCAATTTTATATTTATTTTAGTCCTTAAATGTCAAGTGACAGGAGAATCATATTGTAACAAACATAAATTAAAGTCTGAATATTTTAATTATTACAAAAAGAAGATGAAAAAATAAAATAAAGTTAAGGTGAAAGTTAAAGGGTAGAAGTATAATTTTTTTTTCTTCAAAAATACACTATATAATAATTATTTTGAAATTATACGACAAAAATTATCCAATCTATCGAATATTTTCCATGAATAATTTATTCTAGAAGATGAACCGTCCGATTTATTTGTTGGCTAGTTTGAAAAATGCAGGAATCTAGTTGGTTGGAGCAAACTCTCTTCGGTGCACTTAGTGTCACTGGATCCTACACTCAGCTTGACCATTGGGGGGTTGATCTTTCAAATTCAAAAAGATCATACCCCTCCATCAATTGAGTTGGGGTGTCACTTGTGAGTGTGTGACAAACTGAGTGGCTCTAAAGACAAAGATCTCTCTCTCTCTCTCTCTCTCTCTCTCTCTCTCTCTCTCTCATTAGATTTTCTATCTCCTATCAGAGTGTCCCCCATGGCCTCATGGGCTATGACAACTTACCTCCCATGCTTTTCTTTCATTCTATTAAGTATTGTAATCCACCCATCAACCCACACCATTCCAAGATCATAGCTTGTGTCTTCTGCCTTGGTATGTGTTCCCCACATTTGCTTCCTCATTTGTTGTCTTTGGTTGTAACTCTTTTATTTATTTTTTATTTTTTATCGTTTCATCAATTACTTAAATTGTGCATTCCACTTTTCTGTTTATAAGGCATGTTTGGAAATATTAGTTCTTCAAAAACTATTTTATTTGTACTTAAAAGAGTCACAGCAATGGCAAAGTAGAGCTATAGTGTTGTCGTGATTCAAGCGTCATCTATGCTCTCTTTGCAATTTATATTCAGAAATGATATGTATCTAAGAAAAAATACTAAGAAAAGTACTTAGAATTTGAATGTATGGTATAGATTTAAACTTGGTGTGGTGTGTCACAATTGGAATGAATCTGATCCACACATTTTAAATTTCAGAAATTCTTTGAGTTTTTTTCTTTTTCTTTTTTTTTTCTTTTTTTGGGTATTTAGCATTGGTGATTTATAATTTGCAAGTCAAGTGGAGAGTGGATAAATTAGATAGTTATCTTCTCGTCTAGAGTTCATCTGCATAAGAAGCTAAGCTTGAATGCATTTTAAAACTCATCAATTTTTTTAGCTGGGCTCAATCAGTTATTTGCACTAACAAAAAAAAAAAGAAAAAAAAGAAAACCTAAGCTAAGCGAATATGCCTCATGGAGAAACATGACAGATAATTGCAGAGTAGCAAATAACAGTACAAATTAAACAGTTCACTAGTTGTCTAGTTATAGCATATAATTAAACAGTTCACTATTGTCTTTTTCTTTTTTTATTTATTTATATATATAGCTTAATAAGAAGCATCTTGTGTTATACATTGATCTAGATTTCTTTCCCTTTCATTTTCTATTCTGTGTTTTTTCTATATATATTTATATCATCAGGACTATCAATCTTGCTTTATTTTTCTAGTAGTTTCTAGTAGCTCACTATTTTGGGCATAAAATTGCTCATTTCTAACATTTCAGTTCGTATCTAGTCTTTTTGCATATTGATTAAAAAGAAAAAAAATCTTGGGTTTCTGGTTTTATATGAAACACGTCTAAATCATCGTGGAAACTTGCAGGTTAATGTTAATCACAATTCGTTCATTCAACATTGCAAACTACCCAAATGGGTTCGGGAAATTGGTTCAAGTCAATAATTTGCCTAAAGAAAGCGAAGTACAAACGATCCAAACAAGTGAAGGTAGTTTTCCTATTGTAAATGCGCCATTTTGTCACACTAAATTAAACTCTATGCTAATTAGTAGAATAAATTCATTCAATCTGAGACACAACTCTCATTTTTCCACCCTAATCTTCTAACTTCACAGGTGTTGTAAATATACTTATACAATTTGTACTCATCTTGTTTATCATTTGTATTAATATTTAGATCTCTATGTATGTGTATATGCACGTGTATTGTAATATTGCTTCTTCTTTTTTTTTTTTTTGGGGTTCTTTTTCTCTAATGGGCTCTTAGCACCTTTTGGAAATAGGTACACACAGCGAACAGCAAGCCAAATGGATCAGAAAACAGTGCTTCTAGTGAAAAATCCGGTGTTATTAGTATGCCGATGGAACATATTGCTGCCATGCGCATTCAAGCTGCGTTTCGAGCATTTAGGGTATGTATCGCCCCTATATGCCCTAAACATATCGACTCATTGTCTAATTTGAATCTTTAGATCTGTTTTCATTTTCTTTTTTCTCTCTGTTTTTAACCTTTTGTCATTGATTTTTACTTATAAGAAGTTGTGCAAAGTCTATCTTTTATGTTTAGCCTTGTCTGTCAAAAACTATTGAAATTCGAATAAATTTTGAAGAGATTTATAGCTTATCTCTATGGGTTTTTGCTGTCAAAGCTAGAAAAATCATTCAAAATGCTTCCCATTTAATACATAAACTAGGAAGACAAAGGAAGTGAGGTTTTGGGCTTTAATTAATCAATTCAGAAGCCAGGATTTTGGTTAAGAGGGACGGCAAGAGTCAAAAAGTAATTACACCAACCAAGTTCGACAAAAATGAAAAAAAACAAAATCAAAAACAAACTTCATAATTTTCAAATAAAACATGAGTTTTGTCATTCAAAGAAAAAGAAGGAAAAAGAAGATATTTGCAAACAAACTAATAATCAGATAACGCTTATGCTCATATTCCTCAGTATCCTTAAATCATAACAATGTGTTGATAAAAATAAATAAACAGTAAACATAATAACAGCGCATTTGATTATCCTTAACCTCTTCTAATGCCCATGTTAATCACCAACACATCCATATTATATTATTGTAGTTTCATAATCTTTATCATGGTTTCGTCACCATCATGCACCTTGCAGGCGAGGAAAGCTATACGTCATCTGAGAGGGACTGTGAAATTTGGGACTTCAATTGAAGCTGATAGTGTTAAAATGCAAGCATTGGCCACTTTGAGCCACATACATTCTTGGAGCAAAATACAGAATCAGATTAGAGAGCGTCGACTTTACATGGTCAATGAAGGACGGTTAAGGCAGAAGAAACTTGAAAGCCAGCTAAAACTTGAATCTAAGCTTCAACAGATAGAGGTATTAATCACTCTAAGACGTACTAAGATCAATATTGGCTTGTCTCCTTTTTTTTTTCCTTTCTCTTTTTTGTTTTTCCTCCCTACTGCTATAAAGAATCCATTAATCATTATTATTATTTTTTTTTGAAGAGTTGCGTCTTATATTCTGTAAAGATTTTGAATTTTACTTAAGAAATTTTTACAGTAGAGTTTGCCATCTTCTTCTGGGCATGTGCGTTTTTGCATACCGGATACAATGAAGAAAATGATTATCCGAAAACAAGAAAGTAGGAAACTTGCTTAGAAAACTCTTGATATCAGAAGATCAAAATCGAGAGAGAGAGAGAGAGACTGCAGAATGTAGTTCTGAACTTTGGATGGATGGATTGAATGGCCTGATTTTGCAGGCTATTTATAGGCATGTCTTTAGGAAAACAACGTTGTAACGAGACTTAAAACATATAATACAATCATTTCTATAGAAGTTGCCGAAGACACCAGAGTCGATTGCTAGTTTTGAAGACTTAGGCTAAGTTTGGCATAATTAAAAAAAGACAAAAAGTCAAAAAGTCACTATCCTATTTAAGTCACATCATCTTATTTAAGTCACATCACTTCTCTAACACATCACTTCAAACCCAACCCAAACCCAACCCATATTTCATAAAAAGTCAAAAAGTGCACTTATTTAGTCTTCCCAAACTAGGCCTTAGATACCACCGTTTCAACAAGAAGAGTGTGTTTGGATCTTGAATTCATATATAGTATATTTAGAGCATCTCCAACAGTAGTAGGCATTTTACCTATCTAAATATTACCATAAAGTATATATTTTATTTTGCCTATCAACTGTTTTATATTTTTACTCCAACCATACTCTTTATTTTAGCTATTAATCCAAATACTATTAATTTTATAGAATGCCACGTCAACAACAAAGATGGAGGGAAATGATCCTAATGATTGAATACATTTTGCCTAACGTTGAAGGCTAGCTACATGTAGCTAGTGAATATGAGTTGAGCCAAAATGCCTAACCATATGCCTAGTGCGTTGGAATTGAAAAAAATGAATCACACTAGGCATTTTAACTAACAAGTATTATATGCCTAGTGCATTGGAGATGCTCTTATAATATATAAAAAAAAAGGGCAAATTACACACACCCTCTCGAGATTTGGTGAAAATACAGATTCCCCTGAGGTTTGAGAAATTACAAATTACCCCCTGAGAGTCAAATTTTCATAACAAATTAGAGAAAATTAAGGGGAAATCTGTATGAAAATAAAAACTTCAGGGGACAATTTGTTATGGAAATATAAACCTCAAGAGGCAGGATGTAATTTCTCAAATCTCAGGAGGAATCTGTATTTTCACCAAACCTCGAGGGGGTGGGTGTAATTTGCCCAAAAAAAAAGAAAAAGAAAAATTAAGTAAAAGCTTCTTCTTTTTTTTTTGGTTGGGTTCCTTTTATTCCTTAATTTCATTCCAGATAAAATTATTTCCACCTCACATTCTACCTTATTTATTTAGCTCTTGTGGATGAAGACAGCAGCTAAACAAATTTCCCTTTTACATTTTCCTTCCCTCCACATATTTTTTCTAAATTTAAGATTTAAACACAACTATGTTTAAATCATGAATTCAGATAGAAATTTGGAAAGAAAAAAATAAATGAAAAAGAAAAATCAACTTATATTTCATTCACATTATCTTCACATTTTGTCTTTTGTCTTTTCTAAATTTATGATCCAAACAAAATATAAAAAAAAATAGTCAAACAATGCCATCTCGTTTATAGACCTTTTTTAACATTGCAACAAAGCCAGGGGTTGTCATCCCAGACAGAGTACTCTGGCTTCATTATAGCAATGATAAATCATAATCAATAAGCCTGGCCTAGTAAAATACTTGACACATGTAATTGCATGGTTATCCAACCAGAGCATGGTTAGTTTCCAAGCTTACCAGCCAAAAGTCATATGCCCTTTTATGTCTGGCATTGACACATGTAATTGCATAATTGAAATTATGGTTTCCCACTGGCAAAGGGCTCTTAGATTCAATAATTGATATTTTTGGTTTGCGAATATATGAAGTTTATTTTGCAAGAGCTGTGAATGCAATGTCGACCTTGGGCAGCATCCTCGTCATCACAAAAAATATGATTAATCACATCAAAATCTTTTTTAGTTATTAGCAAATATTACTTTACTTTCTCATATGAACTCATTTATTTTAACTTCCTAAACTATTAAAAATCATTCCAAATATTCTTCTTACGGAACAGGTAAACTGAAGCATTTTTATAATTTAAAGCTCAAAAGTGTATGAGTATATAGATAAGAGGGTAAAGTGATATTTGCTAATAATTGAGAAGTGTGCCCAAAAACAATGATCTAACCATCATAATTTTTTGAGACTGAATGCAAATTGTGAAATGAAGTACAAGTTGGCAATTCTATAAGTATAAAAACTTTCTGAAACTGATTTAAGACACAAGCAACCAGCGTTGCTTGACTGTCAATGCTTCCAAAACAACAATCTTCTTTTAAGTTTTGCTCTAAAAAAAGCAAGAGAAATGCTTCCCTAACTTTATTTGATCAAGTCAGAGAGGAAATTTGGCCGCCACTAATGGAAATTCTAGCAGGTGGAATGGTGTGGCGGTGCTGAAACAATGGAGGAAATAATCTCCAGGGTATACCAGAGAGAAGAAGCAGCTGTCAAGCGTGAGCGAGCCATGGCATACGCCTTCTCTCATCAGGTACTGAGTTTACTATGTCTATTTAACTGTGTTTTCGTTTTCTGTTACCGTTTTTTAGAAAACAGAATCATTTTCATTTTGAAACAAATGGGTGAACATGTTTTGCAGTGGAGGGCCAACTCTGGGCAGTGCTTCGGCCAGGCCTACTACGATCTAGGCAAAGAGAGCTGGGGATGGAGCTGGAAGGAGCGGTGGATAGCTGTTCGTCCATGGGAGACTCGGGTTCACACCCAATCAATTGTCATCCCAAATAAGGTTCAGAGCAGACCGGTGAGCAAGGCAGGTAAAACTACTAACCAGCCGGCAACGAAAATTGTAGTTTCAGTTAAACCCGCTTCATCTAATGGGAAGGTAACCACAAAAGCAACAAGATCGCACTGCCTAAGTGCCGAGAAACGAGCCCTTCGAGAACCAAAATGTGAAGTTTTAAGCTTGCACCAATCCGAAAATGATGAAGCAAAGACCAAGCAAGAGAAAAACATAGTTTAACAGAGGTCCTTTTTCCATTTTTTTTTTTTCCTTTTTCTCTTCTGGTTTGCTATGTTTGCCTGCAGAATAAAAACCAGACCTCTTACCAGGGACTGAATTGTTCATCGTCATCAATACTATAGTGTTTTGTGTAATATTTTGCTGTCATCCATAAATTTGTTGTTGTAATACATGTTATATGTATGTAATTTAATCCAATTTGTATTCGTTTTACCATGTCTGGTGTTATTTTGGCGGGTAAGTTCCTCTGAATCCCAACATAGGTTAAGGGAGCGGGATGTGATGCAAACAAGGAACTCGCATACCCCAACCCTGTCAACCTCAATCTCAATCTCAATCAACAATCCATTTTTTTTTTCTTTGTAAAACCACTAAAAACTTCACTAGGAGACACATTTAGATCATCAGCCGAAGAAGTAATGCAAGTGGCAATTATTCAACCATTATTCTACAAATTGATGTAACCTGTTTTGCCTTCGGAGGCTTGGTTTGGGAAGTGGGTTGGCTTTTTGGCTTTTTTGGCTATTTTAGCCTGGGCTTAAAAGCTTGGTTTGGGAATGACTTTTTGGCTTTTTGGCTTTTTTGAGTTTTTTTGTGAGAGAAGAATGTAATGATTATGGGTTGGATGTGATGTTTTGTTTGTTATGGCTAAAATAGCCTATTTTGTTTTTTGTGACTAAAATAGCTAAAAAAACCTGCAAACCCACTTGCCAAACACAGGCGGAAGCAGTTCTCTCATGGACCATACAGAAGTACCAGCAAACAATAAGCAATTGTCGCCGTCTCAAAGAAGCCAAGTGTCAATGATTTTCTTTTCACCAAAGAAGAAAAAAAAAAATGGGGCAAGACAGATTTTTATTAGGCACAGATTTTGCAGGGTAGGGGACCATGGGACTAATTGCAGAGTACCAAATTTTTGTGGTATCCACCACTGTATTCTTCTGTTATTGAGTTTTTTGTGCTCTTCAACATTCACCTACCATGGTTTCCGCACTTCCTCCCTCTTAGTCTAAAGGATAGACTAAGAGGGCCACAGTCTTAAACGCAAGTGTGGAGAGACTATTTCTGTAGTTTAAACCCTAAACCCTAGTTGTATGGGAGCAAGAAGGTTTATAAATGAGCCGAGTACTAACTTATTCAAACTTAAGTTGAAAACATAATTAACTTAAAAAATGTGTTTGAGCTGAACTTGTTTAACTTTCAAGCAAGTTTTAATCGAGCTAATAACGAGCCAACCTTGTGTAGCATAATTTTTTTATAACAAATAAAATTTATCAAACCAAATAGTAAGTTGTTCAATCTTGATTTGTTTACCTAACAAGACAATCTCGAATGAGTTTTTTCCAACTTGTTTTACTGCCCTAACTTTACCATACCTTGCTATATCCATCTACTGTACTTGTCAGATTCCTCCACAACCTGAACTTAAAGCTAAAGCAACTATGGGGACCTATGACTCTAATCCAAACCCTCTTCCATCACAACCCATGTCCACTTTCAGATAGCAACACTTGCCTAACTCAAAGGATTAACTAGAGCATTCAAACAGTACTATTTCAACCAATTTGAACCTGTAAGTCAACTATGGTTCTGCTTAAAGTTTCAATTATTGAAAAAGTTATGTCTCCCAAAATCTATCTCAAAACAAATCTGACAGAGTATGTTGTGCAGAGGCTAAAGTAGATCTATAAGGGGTAAATGATACACTTTCCCAGTAATGGGTTATTTTCCATTGAAAAGGGAAAGATTTGAAGTGGATAGAATTTTGAGATTAATTATAGTTACTACTCTCTAAATCTTTCTCTTGCTATTTCTACTGTTCTTGGAAAATGACTCCTCGTCGGATGCTTCCGAAAATTCAAGCGGCGATAGAGATGTAAAAGATGAGTTATTTCTTTCAATTCTTTTGTGGGTTTAAGGAAAAGTAGTTGAGGGGCATGAACTGTTCCACCAGAAAGTACTAAAGCAACAAAACAATCACGAGAGAGAGAGAGAGAGAGAGAGAGAGAGAGAGCTCTCTTTCATCTACATGACAAATTGACTATCTCCAAAATACAGGAAATAAAATAACCCATTTGTTCCCTCTCTCATTTTGAATTGAGATTTGAGAAAGTAACAAGAAGCTCAAATCAAACATCAAATCATGAATAACATAGCTATGAGATACCAAAAATCAAGTGAAATTTTATGTTTTTGTCCGAGATTTCCCCTATTTTCGGAGTAATTTCTCACTGTTGTTCCCAAAACAGTGTTGGATTCAGCATCTATGGCTTGTTCTAAAGAGGGATGGACAAAAAAAAAAATGAAGATTCAGGAAGGTCTCATTTATAGGATTGGAGGTTTGAAGATTTGAGAACCGAGTCTTTTCATAGAATTGCAAACTTCAGGATAACAAACTAGTTCTCTTTTTTAGTAGTCCTAACTCAATTTTTGAGAAACAGTGGTAACATAAAAGTCAATAGCAACAACAATACAAAGCAAATCAGCATAAAGAGTTACAAAGTTGGGCTCAAAGAGCACACAATTCAACAGAGAAGTAAGAACATAAAGCAACTAAAATAGAAAGCACACCGGGATTGAAAAACCTGAAAACACACTCAGATTTCTTCTTCCCACGGTAACGAGCAGCCATTGGATTAAACTGACCAAACTCACTCTCTCTCTCTCTCTCTCTGAAACAGTGATAACAGCTGATTCTTGGTTGCTCCAATGGGTTGATGATTGAGTACTGAAAGAGAAATTCAATGTAACAGTAGACTATACATGGAAAATTGAATGAAATAGAGAAATGATTATTGAAGATTCACCTGATAGAGAGAGATTGATTTGGTTTTGGAGCTCAAATCAATGGTACGAATCAGAGGAAGCAGAGGACGGCTTGTCGGAAATGCCGTCGTGCTCCTCATCTTCACCCTGAATTCGTGCTGGAATGCGAAACCCGGAAAATCCACCGACCGAGGTGAATCCGATGCCCGGGAACGAGGATGGGTGGATGGGCAGGCTTTGATAGCGGTGGTGGTGGTCGGCGGCAGAAATTGACGACGGGTCGATCCAAGCACGAACTGATTGGGTGTTACTGGACTGAAGGGGTCCCCTCTGTGAAAGAAACTGGTTTTGGCTGAACAACGGTTGCAGCAACTGCGGCGTTGGCGGCGAGTTGAAGATAAATCCACCACCACCACCAGTGCCGGTGGTGTCTCCGCCGGCATTCCAAGCAAACATTCTCTGGAATCTGCTAATTTCCTGTGGCTGGTGCTCGGACCACCCACCGGAATTAGCATCGAACCCGAGTGAGGTGGTTCCAGAGAAAATTGCTTGTTCTTGTTCAGTCTGATGCTGTGATTGTTGGTGGTGTTGTTGTTGTTGTTGATGGAGAAGAATTGGGTCTTGGAAAGATTGAAGCGAGAGTCTCAGATCTTGGCTCTGGCTACTAGTTCTCGACAGCAAATCCGGCGGCGGAAAGCTCTGAAACTGCATCGCCGACGAATTAGCCTCCGCCACGGCAGCCGCACCCATTGGGAAGAAAGATTTGATGGTGTCGGCGATAGAGTCGGAGTCCAACGACGGCGGCAAGAAACTCGAGTTGTTGTTATTATTACCCATTTGCATATGTTGTTGCTGATCAATCCTCGAACAAGACCCACCAAGAGCATCCACCACGGTTCCGCCACCGTGGTGAATGCTCGTCAGTTCTTGTTCGTGTTCTTGTTCTTGTAGCTTTTGGTCGAAATTGTTAGCATTAGAGGTAGGGTTCCAAGCGGGTAGCTTCTCGAGCTCATCAATGGCAGCTTTGGCGTTCTTGATGAGCCAGTCCACCGCCTTGCTGGGTCGGTCGTAGCCGAGGCGGTCCTGCACGTCGTAGAACTGAATGGCGGTGTGAGCAGACAGCCGTACACGGCGGTCCCTCGGCCCTTTGGCTGTGCAAACCTTACTGTGTCTGTCTTTTCGTCCGGTGGAGCGAACAATGTGACCGCCCTGAACTTCCACGATCTCGCCGCCGGCGTGTCTCAGACCCAATCTTGACGGCGTCGCTTGGTGGTGAGTCTCTCCCATTCTTTCTCGCAATCTCGCATGTTCGATGCTTTGCTCCGCCGGCGATGAAGATCGAAAGTAAGACCGCTTCTTTGAAGCCTGCGGGGGAGGCGGTGGTGGTGGTGTATCTAATCTCTCAAACAATAGCTGTTGTTGTAGGTTTGTTTGATGCAATTGTTGTAGATATTGGTGGTGGTGGTGGTGGTGTTCACGAGTAGCTTCTTTCTCTGATTGTTCTGTGTTGTTCTCTTCTTCTAGGTTATGGAATTGACTTTGATGATGATGATGAGGAGGAGGTTGTTGTTGGTGGTGGTGGAGGTGATGATAATGATTCCTGTGAGGATCCAGGAGGCTCAGACCCCTGTGCTGCTTTACTTGTTCCAGCTTTTGAATTCAGAGTACTTTTTTTTTTTTGGTTATTGGCTTATTTCTTCTTTCTCTTGTGCTGGCTCTGGTTGCTTCTTCTTGTTTCTGTTGCTCTGCCACAACTGTGAAACCTGATACTGCTCTCTTTGCCTATCCCAAAAGTCTCTTCTTCTGCCATTCAACCCTGCAAAACCCATCACCCTAATCTAGGAAAACCCAAACCCACGAGCCTCCGCCCAAAAAAGCTAACCCATCTCTCTATGCTCTTCCAATTTTTCTCTCTCACTAAAAGTTTCTGATAACAGACCCCCCTCTCTCTCTCCTGTCTGCTAACCAAACTGTGGAATCATAAACAGACAGCTGGTAATATGAGTAATACTGAATTCAAGAAGGGTTCCAGTTCATATTTTTTTGTCTAGAGGGGAGAGAGAGAGAGAGAGGAGGCTGTGGAGGTGGTGATGGAACAGTAAATATATAGACAGAGAGGGCACTGGTGAGGAGGGGACTGTGTTTGGTCAGAAAGAGGATTTAATCACTGCCCTCTTCTGCTGCTGCTGTTGTTCTTGTATTAAACTGGCTATCCAATACACAAACAAACACCCTAACTGGTGTTTTAAAAAGTAGGTAAAAAATTAATTTTTTTGATTTTTTTAATTTATTTTATTTTTTTATGAGTAAAAATTATGAAAGATGATATAATTTAAAATAGATGGGCTTTGATAGAAATCTCTTCCAATCATCACCCCACCACCCCACACACGTGGTGGGTGGTGATGGGTGGTGATTGGAGAAGAAAGAAAAAAAAAAATTTTAACCAATAAAAAAAGAGGGTTCAGGGAGGTGGAGCAAAGAGAGTCTGGATTTTTTTCTTTGAAATATCATGTGTTGTTGTTTGGAAAAATAATTTATCCATATAATTTTTTTTCTCATGAAACTTTTTAAATGACGTGACAAATAAAATTTAAAAAATTGACTTACATTTAAATATTTTTTGAAAACTCTCATTATATGCATTTTGTCTTACCATATTATTAAGGGCTCGTTTGGAAAGGAGTGTTTGGATTTTTTTGGCTGAAATAGCCGCACACACAAAAAAAAATTAGGTTTTTTAGCTCAATAAGACAAAATATCAAATCTAACCTATAATCATTATGGCTATCCAATACACAAACAAACACCCTAACTGGTGTTTTAAAAAGTAGGTAAAAAATTAATTTTTTTGATTTTTTTAATTTATTTTATTTTTTTATGAGTAAAAATTATGAAAGATGATATAACTTAAAATAGATGGGCTTTGATAGAAATCTCTTCCAATCACCACCCCAACCACCCCACACACGTGGTGGGTGGTGATGGGTGGTGATTGGAGAAGAAAGAAAAAAAAAAATTTTAACCAATAAAAAAAGAGGGTTCAGGGAGGTGGAGCAAAGAGAGTCTGGATTTTTTTCTTTGAAATATCATGTGTTGTTGTTTGGAAAAATAATTTATCCATATAATTTTTTTTCTCATGAAACTTTTTAAATGACGTGACAAATAAAATTTAAAAAATTGACTTACATTTAAATATTTTTTGAAAACTCTCATTATATGCATTATGTCTTGCCATATTATTAAGGGCTCGTTTGGAAAGGGAGTGTTTGGATTTTTTTGGCTAAAATAGCCACACAAAAAAAAATAAAATAGGTTTTTTAGTTCAATAGGACAAAACATCAAATCTAACCTATAATCATTATATTTTTTTCTTTCACAAAAAAATCAAAAAAGTCTAAAGCCCTTCCTAAACGAGACTTTTTAGTCCAATGTTAAAATAGCTAAAAAGTTAACCCACTTCCCAAATGAACTTAAAAGGATTGTAGAACAAGAAATAGTGTAAATGTAGCACTAATATATTGTTTATTAAGAAAATATCAAATTCGTACTCCCTCCGTCCCAAAATATTAGTCTTTTTTGGAGAATTTAACTTTTTTTGGTAGTACACTTATTGCATTTGAAAAAAGTTAGTTTTCCAAAATTACCCTTTTGATAGTACATTTTTTGGGAATATCAATGTCATAATTGTACTTTTAAAATTATTTATTAATTTAAAAGAAGGGCAAAATAGGAAATTTACATTATTTTTGTACTAGATTTATAAAGAGGGACTAGTATTTTGGGACAATGAAAAATGAAATAAGGGACTAATATTTTGGGACAGAGGGAGTAGTATTTTTAAAAATAATTATAAATCAATAATAATTTTTATTAATATTAATAATTAAAATTTTAAATTTTAAAATTTTCACAAATCTATAAAAATAATTATAAATCAATAATAATTTTTATTAATATTAATAATTAAATTTTAAAATTTTAAAATTTTCACAATTCTATAATTATTTTTTAAAAGTTTAACTGGTTTATTTTATATTCTAACTAAGGTTTCACTAGTTTTTTATTTTTATTAATGTTAATAATTATTTTATATCCTAACTAAAGTTTCACTAGTTTTTTAAATTTTAAATTTTATTTTATATCCCAACTAAAATTTTCACTTTGTTTTTGTTTTTGTTTTGTTTTTTGTTTTTTGTATAATTGAGAGAAATGATATTTGATTGTTAAAAGCATGACATAAACAATGACATATGATATTTCAAAATTATATATTAATGCAAAAAATCTAAAAATACAAAAATAATCACAAAATGGAATACAACTCTAAAGTAAGTCATATCTTTTTGTGAGTCTCATATTCATAAATTTGTGTCTGGTTCTGTAATTATTTTTACACTGTAAAAGAACTATATATAATAATTTTTCCTCTTATATCTCGTAAAGTCTTTATTTTCTCTTTCATTCACCTAGTTTTTTAAATTTATTTTCCAACAATGTTCAATAAAAAAAAATAGCCAGCATATAACATCAATAATTTAAATTCACTTAAAATATGATCCATGCCATACCAACAATTGTAAAGATACACCATTAATATAAAATTTAATTAATTTTCTAATTAAATTTGTGGGACCCTAGACTTTTCCATTATTTTTGGTTCATTAGAAGTTAGAAGTTAGAAGTTAGAAGAGTTGGTTGTAAAAAGGAGTGAGTGAATGGATGCTTTGATAGACAGAAGATATAGATCCTTCAAAATGGCCACCACCACCACTACCCCCAATTTTGAGAGTGACTTCTTTATAGCTTTTGTGGTTTTCTTAACTTCCCTTATTATCTCTCTCTTTTGCTTCACTTATTAAAACAAACAACATCTTTCCCTCAAATTTCCCTCTCCCAATCCATTTTTTTTGTGGCTTGTTGGATTACTGTGCCTCTGGCATCTTAAAGGACAAGTCTTCTTTTTTGGACTAAAGTAATTAGTTAATGTTTAATCAACCCAAAAAATAAAAATAAAAATAAAAATTAGTTAATATTGTTGTTAGGAAAAATTATAAATAGATGGAATAGTCACAAAATAATTATATTATAAATAAGAATTAGTGTGTTTTGTTTCAGTTTTTTGAATTCAATTTTTTATTTTTCGTGTATTTTTGTTTTTAATAAATATTTTAAAAATTTTAAGGGATTTTTTTTTATTTTTTTAGATGTACCTTACTTATATGTATCTAAATAATAAAATATTTGTGTAAAAATATTTTTAAAAATTAAGAAATACACAAAAATATAAAAAAAATGTACTGAATTTATATATTGTTTGGTATTTAGTGTATTTTTTAAAGATCTTCTTCACAAATATTATACTTTTTAAATATATTTATGTTAGGTGTGTCTAAAAATTTAAAAAAAAAAGTTTAAAATATTAAAAAAATTCATTAAAAACATTAAAATACTAAAAATAAAAAAAAAATCTGAAAATCAGAACTAAACGAGCTAAATATTTTTTCGTTAGTACATAAAATATTATTTATATTTTTTTTTATGTAACTCTAACACGAAAAAAGTTACAACAAACACATTAAACAAATTTACACCATGCATACACGAAAATTATACCATTATAAAAATATTATATTTTTTTGGTCATTACTTCACTGAAATAAAATTTTCTCTTGTTACGTCACAGATGTCATTTTGGTCATTGGTCAACCAGGGTAAATTACTGAAATACCCATTGCAAATAATCGTTCTGGAGGGTGTTTAGATTGTTTAGGAACATGTTAAATTAGTTAAAAAATTAAAAATTAATATATAAAAAAAAGTGAACCCGTTCTCTTTACCCTTTTATATATGTCCTTTCGTAAACAATTAATAAATCCCAAATAAAATCAATTCCTAACAGAACCCTAATATTATCAATTTTTAATCAAAAAATAAGTAACAAAATAAAAATTTTAAAATAAAAAAATTTGTTCGATTCAAAAATCTACTACCATTTTAAAAGTATGAAGAGAACATATATTTTTTACTGTTTTTGTATCTCGAAAATACCTTTCCAAATTTATTAAACATCACAAATACCTTTCAAAATTCAAATATTATTTTTTTCATATTCCGAAAATACCCTTCTAAATTTATTAAATATCGCAATCACAAACACCTTCAAATAATATAATATGATTATCTATTCAACTTTAAAAAGAGTTAGCATCCTCATTTATTTTCGACTTCTTTTTTCTCCCAAAATAATCTTCCCAAAATATGTTGGTCGCATCGCCAAATGGCACAATGGTTAGCAAAAGTCCTTACACGGAGAGGTTTTTGTCAACGGTTACTTTATAATTTTCAACCATTATTGGTTAGCAGTAGTCTTTATCACTTTATAATTTTCAACCATTATTGACTATACATTCAACCATTTAAGTTCTAACTCTGTTATAATATTATTGTGAATGAATTTATAAATTTAATTTTGAGAGTCTGTAACATTTCTTATATAATAATAAATAATTTTAAAGTTGAGTGTCTCTCAAGTTTGAACTTGAGAGGATTTAACGGACCCATGAGACTCATCACATGTTTCAATTCGATGGTTTGAATATTTCATTTTATAGGACTCTCAGTTTATCATTCATGAAAAAAATGAAGTTGATCCAAT